TAAAAATTGATTTGGGGGAAAGGGGGAAGGGGTGATTTCGAGGCAGGGTTGGTGGGGGGGGGGGTGGCGTCGTCGCGGGGATGCGGGGCTGGGGGGGTGGCGTCGGCGCGGGGAGGCAGGGTGGGTGGGGGGGCGGCGGCGTTGGCGCCGGGGAGGCAGGGTGGGTGGCGGGGTACTTCTAATTTTTTTTTTTTTTATTATTTTTATTTTTTAAGTTTTTTTTAATTAAATGTTTTTTCTTTTTTTTAATAAATTAAATTATTAAATAATTACATAATGGGACCCACTAACGGCAAAGTTGATAGAATGCTAACGGAGGTACTGATATCTATAGTTTAGTCATTTTTGAGGTACCAATTTAAAATAAAATTTTAGATGGGTACTAAAATTCAATTACCCCCATTTTCGAGGTACCAAAATCCAAATTTTCCTTTTTTTAACACTAAATTAATAACAAAGAATTGTAACCTCGATTAAGGATACAGTGTTTAATTTTAAATAAAAATTTGTATTGATTTCAATTATATTCAAAGTTACTTTATATACTCACCCTTTTTTTTTTTTTTGAAAGAACTCTATATACTCTCCTTACTTTTTGTGATTTCTTGTTTACTTGATTTGTTTTAATAAATAGTACTTTAAATGTGTCAACTTTAATTTTACTGTTCTATAATTTGATAAAATTTGCTGCTTCCTTACTAATCTAAATTAACTTTACTAAAATTTCCAACATTTAACAATTACACAATATTCAACATATTTATCCCTGTCAAAAAAAAAAATTAAAAAAAAAAAAAAGTAAAACGTATTTATCACTTATATACAAAGTTATACAAATTACCATGCAAGACATTCCCCTCAAAAAAATTACCATGCAAGACATTAAGACTGTATAAACTTTTCCCAAAAGGTTAGCCACATTTAGGGGTGTCCATTATTTAGATAAAAATCGAAATTCAATTTAATCCAAACCGAATAATAATCCGGATCGGATCCAAACTTTAAATCAAATTGGATCGAATTGAAATTTTTTTAAAATTGACCTTATTTAGATCTAAAAAAACCGAATTAATCGAAATATGAAACCATACTTTTGGATACTTTATATTAATCATGTAAAATTATGTTGATTATTACGTTAATATAACTTATGTAAAATTTTGTTTTTAATCTTTATTAATTATGTACAACTATGAATTTAAGACTAAGCTTTTTATAATTGCATTTTTATTTTTATAATTATTTTAGTTCCTAAACATTTGCAATGTATTTTATTAATTTGGATTTTCGGTTTGGATCCAAATAACCAAATTTTGATTTGGATTAGATTGGATTCATGAAAAATTCGAATCGGATAGAATTAAAAATCAAAAATCAAATTTTATTTCAAATAGAATCGAATTTAATTTGGTCTAAATTTAAACCGTAAACCGAATAGACACATTAGGCGCCCTGCAATCCCAACTATTGTAATAATTATTGGAATACTATCCATTGTAACGGACAAATTAAAGTGCTCTCATCTACACCTACTAACAAATTGCACTAAACTATAAAAAAAATGACAACTTTAAGTCTATAGTCTTTCAACGAATTATTTTTTAATTTTATATTTTCAAAGGTAACATTCAAAGATGAGAGACTAGTTTTTTCTGAATAAAATTCCATACCTCGTTGTTTCAATGCTATAACAAATTAATATTAAGGTTGCAATAATGTGAGATAAACTTCCCTGATATTGAGCAATCGGTGCCTGTCATGATATCAGGGCCCGTTAAAACATAGTTTAAATGTTGGGGACCTTGTAAAAATGATCCATAGTTTAAATGTGGGGGAACCTTGTAAAAATGGTCTCAATATATATATATTTCATAGTATCAACTTTTTTTAGTGAGCTCTTTCAAATAGGGGGTGCAGATGTTTAGAGCAACTCCACTAGCAAGTTAATTTTCAAATTAAATTGCATAGTTTTTAAGCTAATATCTTTATAGTTAGTTTGAGCCGTATTGGCTAGCTATTATTCCGTAACTTACTATTTAAATTAGTAATATATTGTTTTCATCTTAAAAACTATTTGATTTAAACATATTCTTCTTGGCAAGTTTTTTTTCAAGCATTTGCTTGTCCAAGCTAATTGCATACATATTTAATTGTTCCAATGGTCAAGTTAGTAGCTAGCTAAGGACGACTATTTAAAATTCAATCAAGTCCCTAGCTACAACCATTAGAGTTGCTCTTATAACTATATTTTTTTTAACATATTGGTCCCCTTATAAATTCGGAGAGACTTTTTTTCCCAATTTTTGATGTTTGGAATTATGCACGGCTATGAAGAAATTGCGAAAAACAAAAAATAAATGGAATAATTTAATGATTGAAACTATAATTTTTTTTTGGTGTTTAGAAAGCCACAAAGGCGAGGTGATGAGAATTGATCCCAAGATATCTTGGAATCGGGAGGGCAGTTCTAACCACTTGAGCTATCCCTCACTCTCATAATTCTATTACGTAAAGAATAATATTGTACATATGGGCTGAAAAAAAGTAGATGGGAAAGAAGAGAGAAAGTAATAATGAGTATTGAAACCTCGCCCATGTACTACAAGAAATACAAATGTATAATACATGGTTATTGAAGACAAATTGAGTATTTAAATGGTAATGTAAGGGTAATTTTGTCTAAGATATACGACTATAAAAGAAAAAAAATCCTAAATGTAAAGAATAAAAAGAAACACCCTAAATGAAAATGTAAAAAAAGGGGAGCAAAGGGAGTACTCCATAGTATATTACTGGAATAAAGGAAGCAACAGGTTGTAAATGAAGGTAAAGCAAATCATGAAGCAGATGAAGAGCCTGCAACACAGAATGCACCAGGAACTTCACCTCAAGATCAGAATGAAGAAAATGAGGAAGTTCCAGAAGAAGCACTAACTGATAAGAATCAAAATGAAGTTCCTACAGAAGTACCTGTCAACAATCAAGAGAGATTGTATCCTATCAAGGACTTCAAGCCAAAGTCCTAGAAACATCAAAGTTCACATCCAGTAAATGCAATCATGAGCGACATCACTAAAGGAACTCAAATGATCTCAGCTAAGGAACTTTTGTGCATTCTATGCATTCCTTTCCACAATGGAACCTAAGAACTATGTTGAAGCTTTAACTGACGCTGACTGGATTAATGCTATGCAATGAGTTTGAAAGAAATGAAGTTTGACATTTAGAACCTAGACCTGAGAAGAAGAAGACTATTGGGTTGAAGCGAGTGTTCAAGAACAAACTAGATGAGCATGGTATTATTGTCAAGAACAAAGCAAGACTTATTGTACAAGGTTTCAATCAACAGGATAGGAATGACTATGAAGAAACATTTGCACCAATAGTCAGGTTAGAGGTTATTTGCTTACTTATTGCTTTTGTTGCTTATATAGGATTTAGGTTGTTCCAGATGGACGTTAAATGTGCTTTCTTAAATAGATTTCTTGAAGAGGAAGTCTATGTGGAACAACCTCCTGGATTCAAAAATCCAGAGTTCCCAAACCATGTCTACAAGCTTAACAAGGCCCGGCCTTCATGGGTTGAAGCAAGCTCCTAAAGCATGGTATGAAAGGTTATAAAAAGTTCCTTTTATAAAATGAGTTTAAACGTAGTAAAATTGATAAAACTTTGTTTTTGGAATCAAATGGAACTGATATCTTAGTTGTATTGATCTACGTTGATGATATTTTGTTTGGTGCAACTAATGAAACTTTGTGTAAGTATTTTGCTGACCTAATGAGTGGAGAATTTAAAATGAGCATGATGGGCAAGTTAAACTTCTTCCTCGGTTTGCAAATTAAGCAAACTAAAGAAGGAATCATGATCCATAAAAAAAATATATCAAGAAACTGATCAAGAAATACAAGCTAGACAATGCTAAAACCAATAGAACTCCTATGGATGTTGCAACCAAGCTAGATGAAGATCCATCTGGAACTTGCATAGATCAAACGGCTATTTCACCAAATGCCACTGGGTACTTACAAAATTCACCAAATGCCACCAAACGGCCGTTAACTTCGTTAGTCATTAATATTAAATCATGACACGTGTCATGATAAGATTAGTTCATTTTAATTATTTATTTTAATTAATAAAATAATATTTTTTTTCTTGATTATCGTGGCAAAAATTGCTCGGGTATAGTTTTGAGGGTCATTTTGACCCTTTATGGGTACAAATTAAGCTCGGAATTGACAAAAAAATAACGTAAATGTTTCGTTTTGTGTGTTGAAAAATATTTCGATTAGCGTATCATTATTTTTTAACCATCAAAATTGATCAGGTAAGGTTTTGGGGGTCATTTTGACCCTTTATGGGTACAAATTAAGCTCAGAATTGGCAAAAAAAAGAGTAAAATGTTCCGTTTTACGTGTCCAAAAATATTTCGATTAGTGTGTCATTAATTTTAACCATGAAAATTGATTAGGTAAGGTTTAGGGGTCAATTAAACTTTTTATGGGTTCAATATAAACTCGGAATTGACAAAAAAAAATATGCCCGTTTTGTATGTCGAGATCGTAATTTTTTTTCCGAAAAAAATGCAAAACGGGATATTTTCGTTTTTTTTTTGCCAATTTCGAGTTTAATTATTTTCCATAAAGGATCAAAATGACCCCCAAAACCTTACCCAAACAATATTTGTCACAAAAATCGAAAAAAGTAATATTTGTTTTCATTAAAATAAATAATTATTGTGTATTAATTTTAAAAAATAATGGCATTTGGTGAAATAATTTTCCAAAGTAATGGCATTTGGTGAAATAAGAATTGCATTAACGAAAAACTAACGTTCATGTGCTATTAGTGGCACGAGATGTCATTGTATTGTTTATCAGTGGCATTTGGTGAATTTTGAAAACCTTAATGGCATTTGGTGAATTTTGAAAACCTTGATGACATTTGGTGAATTTTGTAAGTACTCAGTGGCATTTGGTGAAATAGTCGTAGATCAAACTATGTATCGAGGTATGATTGGATCTCTACTTTACTTAACAGCTAGTAGACCTGACATATCTTTTAGTGTAGGTCTATATTCCAGGTTCCAAGCTAATCCAAAGGAGTCCCACTTGATAGCAGTAAAGAGAATCCTTCGATATTTGAAAGGAACTGATGACTTGAGTCTCTTTTATCCTAGAAGTGATTCATTTGATTTAATTGGCTTTACTGATGCTGATTATGTAGGTGATTTGGTTAACAGAAAAAGTACTTCAAGTATGGTAAAGTTTTTAGGACCTTGTTTAGTTTCTTGGGATTCCAAGAAGCAAAACACAGTTGCATTATCTACAGCTGAAGCTGAGTATGTAACAACAGCATGTTGTTCACAAATCTTATGGATAAAGCAACAGATTAGAGATTTTAGAATTATTTTTTAATGTGTTCCTATTTACTGTGATAATAACAGTGTTATATGTGTTTCTAAGGATCCAGTTCAACACTCAAAGGTAAAGCACATCCATATTAGGCATCACTTTTTAAATGTTGAAGCATAATGGTTTTGATGATGAGGAACTTGAACTAAAAGCAAACTCAACTAATAAAGATTTACTAGTGTGTGATTAGTCAAGGTACAGAATAATCTTGGTGATTGAAGAACCATCTGAATCTAAGAAGACATGAAGAAGATCTTTATTGAAGAAATTAAACGAATCAGAGGAAGAGTTCTCTAACAAGAACTAAGTTCCCTAACAGGAACTTGAAGACTAGCAGTTAAGTTCTTTGGTGGAACTTGATATGCTTGGAGCCCAAGTAATTCATCTGATCAAAGTGCGGCGCAGCAATAATAGTTAAGGTTTTATCTTAGAAATTATTTTTAATATGGTAAGTAGGTTAGTGCGCGAAATTTATTAGAAACGTGACAAGTTTGCTTGGTAAATAAAATAAATATGGAAAATTATAAAAGATAGATTTTAGGAAAAGATTTTCTAAAAAGATTATTTTTCTCTAAAGTCGATTTATGAAAAAGATAAGTCTTCTTAATTGTAGACACCTAAAAATGTCTCCCCAAAACCAAACCCGATGATAAATAACCTTTCACCGCCACTATTGGTCGGGTTTAATATTTAATCCCGAGAGTGCTTAAAAAATCGTATTTTACTAAATTCATACTTTTGAAAGGTCCATGGATTAGTCTTGATGTTTGGTAAAAGCATAGTTTTTATTTTAGCCCAAACTTATTAATTAATTTTTAGCCCAAACCTTTTTTATTTTATTGTTTTATTATTTATTTTTGGCCCAAACATTTTATTTATTTTTATTTTATTATTTTCTTATTTTAGCCCGAATAATAAAAGTCAGAAAAAGGCCCGAAATTATCAATCGGCACTTAAAAAGCCGAAAGAAATTAGGGTTAAAAATGAATTTAGACGGAAAAATGGACTGGAAGTGACCGTGTCACGGTACAGTCTGACCGTGTCACGGGAACCCTTCCCGTCTGACGGTGGGACTTCCCGTGACACGGGACATTCCGTGTCCTTTCCGCGTAAACCCTTAACGCGTTTTTCATTCCTTTTTCTGAAAATTTCCTGCGTCACTCCAAAGTTGTACCGTGTCACGGGAAAGTGTACCGTCTGACGGTACAGTCTGACCGTGTCACGGTACAGTCTGACCGTGTCACGGGATACTTTTTTTAGGGTTTTTATCATTTTAGGGTTCCGTGTGCTCCCTCAGCACATTTTCCCTATAAATACCCCCTCATTTCTGATGTACGTGGCAACCAGAATTTTATTATTTTTATTTTCTCTCTTCTATGCTATTAACCTAAACACTAGCCTACCCTTTTTTACTTCAAAATTCCTTCTTCAAGCACTCAAAGGAGTCCATATTTTACTTGAGGTTCTGTCCTTAAGCCAAGGCGTGAAAGGTAGAATCGTTTGAGGGTTTGGCCCCAAAATCAACCTTATTTTATTTAATTTAATTTAGTTATTGTTTTATTATTTATTTGAAGTTACTAACTCATTTATTATTTTGTAGTTGCAAGCAAACAGATTCAAAGTAAGGATCATGCTCTTTTTATTATTATTATTATTATTATTTTTCTAACGATTTTATGTTGTTGGAATTGTGATTAAATTGGTTTTAATATTAATGTTATTCTATTATTTATTGATCACCATATTGCATGTTTAAAGGGAATATGTAATTGAAAATCACGCCTAATAAGATAATTTGGACAACCGATTTAGGATCCTTTTAATCTTATTATTAATTGAAGTGATCACTGATATTTTAGAATTATGTGTGCATTAATATTCAACCAATTTAATTAGCTTTATAATAGTTTGGAGCGAATTGAATATTTTGTTTGTATGCCTTTGAGATCACAGGAATGCTTTTCAATATAAGAATCGAGTAGAGACCAATACGGGCGAATGTGACTCCATGACTCACTTCGTACCATCATCCCCGATCCTCCTTTCGTGGTTCCGAATCATATGGAGTTAGTAATCTCATGGATTATGAATGGGGTGTAACCTTCACGGGTCAATCGTTGTTGCCTTCGTTGTCCCTTATTCGTGGTTGCCTTTTTATGATCCGTGAACGGTTTACAAGTTCCTTAAAAACTTGTTGGCGGCTCCCTACTTTATTTGTCCCTAGTCGTAATGTCAATTCCCACTTCCTATGAGTACCAAGCATATTCACCACATGCTTTAACGTAGGCGCACTTCGAGCGACGCCCATTGCAATCCCAATGCCCATTGCAAGTACCATCAAGGAAGGGGCCATTTCCAAATGCAATCCCAATGCCCATTGCAAGTACCATCAAGGAAGGGGCCACATTACGGAGCAATGTTGGAATTTGAAGGACGTCATTCAAGACTTGATGGATGCAAATAAACTTCCTGTCCCTCCAGGCGGCAAGAAGTAATGAATACAAGGCACACAGATCCTTCGTGCAACATTTCATGCTTTTTTTATTCTTTTGTTTCAACCCTCTCCCCCAATAAGTCTAGCATAGGTTCCCGTTATCCATGTGTCTATGTGTCACATTTCTTACCTTCTTCATAAATGAGCATCTCTTTCTTACATTCGATCATGTGATTAGCAAAAAAAAAAAAAAAAAAAAAAAAAATTGCCGAACTAAACACAAGGTACACCAATGATTTGAGGCACCTTTGCAACCCTGTCATTCCCCATTAACCACTCAATCACATATCCAGTTCTTCATCAACCACTTTGAGCCTCGTCTAACGTTTGGCCTTCATTTCTTCAACCCACATTCACTCAACCCTGGGATTTGAAGATGTGTAATTGTATAACATTCAAAAAGCAAGTAAAAAAAAAGTAGCAAAGCAAAAATAAAACAATGTCTAAAGGCAAGTGTTCCAATGTCTTTGATATGAACACGTCTCAAACTGCGTCTCTCATCGAGTGCTCGGTACCGTGCCTGAGAAACATGAATGCTAAGTGAGTGATGGACCGCATGATCTGAGATTGCCTACATTGATTCAAAAGAATGAAAAAAAGTTCAAAGTAAAAAAAAATCTGTTGAAAATAAACTTGCAAAATTCAAAATTTTCAAATTCACAATTACACATCTTGGGGGCTTCTCACGGGTCTTGAGCCTTTTACCTCTTTCTTCCTTAAACCATCAACTTAACCACATTACAACCCTTGAAAGACCTCTTTGAGGTGTACATACACTTGTGCAAAGTTCGGTTAGAGCTACGTTGGCCTGATTCCTAACGAATACGTAGGCAACCTCACATCGAGGTGCGACCACATTCATATTCATATCCATGAATGATCGAGTCAAAGAATATCCAATGCTTATCCCTACCCATTTAGAGCTAGACTTGGGGGCTTGAACCCAAATCACATTAGCTTACCCAGCCTGAAGAGTCATCATCTTTAACTCTTCTCACATCTCTTTCCATCGCTATAACCCTTGTAGCCAGCCTTAGTATCACATTCACACACTTCACTCACACATCCATATCCATATCAATTATCCTTCCCTTTAAGAGCCCTTTATCATGAAATCTTGTTTCAACACTGTGCATGTTTCATCATATTTAAAGACAACATTTAGTAGAAGAAACATTGTATTCTTGCTTAGCTTCCTAACCTGAGCAATGTTCATTGTTTCGCATAATGTGCTAAGAAACATTTATATATCAATGATTTTTAATCATACAAAGCATATCGTGCTTAGCTCCTTGACCTAAGCAACGTTCATTATGCAATAATCACTATACGTGCTTAGCTTCCAGACCTAAGTGACGTTCAAAATCGCTTCTTTACACCATATATGATGCTTAGCTCCATGACTTAAGTTCATTCATCTATCGTGTCACATGATGTAATTGTCCTTAGCCTCGTGGCCTAAGAACATGCATCATGCATACATTATTTTCAGGATAAACAATTCAATCCACACGAATCATTTCGTCTTGCTCAAGGAGGAAGTTCAAAACTTCTCTCCCTTTTCATTATTTTATTTTGGGGAAGTTCAAAAAACTTTTTCCAAGTTTTCATCGAAGGAAGTTCGAAAATAAAAGTTCAGTTTTCACATCTTTCTTTTTCGGGAGAAAGTCGGTACCCTCCACTCATGACAAAAATTGACGGAAAATTTTTGCTTTTGCATCTTCGTTTGCTTGTGTCTGCACACACACATATACAAACACACACACACTCACAAGTCATACACATGTCATGTCACATTAAGTCAAATTTGGTCAAGTTAGTGGTCAAGTCAATCACAGTATATACGAGTCCATTGGCAAATTTTTTTTTGCAGGTCTTATCTACAGCCCACGTCCGGGGACAAGCGGACCATCTACAGCCCACGTCCGGGGACAAGCGGACCACCATCATTTCATGACGCAAGGTTCTCGATACACAGAGACTTGCAATCTCATCATCTTTCGACTTTCCTCAAGCATGGAAAGTATTATCCGGTGGATTTTTCTTCAAGTATAGAAAACCGCCAAGTCGGCTTTCCCTCAGGCTTGGAAAGCGTTATCGGTGGATTTTTCTTCAAGTATAGAAAACCGCCAAGTCGGCTTTCCCTCAGGCTTGGAAAGCGTTATCGGTGGATTTTTCTTCAAGTATAGAAAACCGCCAAATTATTTTGTCGGCTTTCCTCAAGCATGGAAAGCATTATTGGTGAAATTCTTCAAGCATAGAATGACACCAAATTCGTTCATCGACTTTACTCAGGCATGGAAAGTATTATCCGGTAGCTTTCTTCAGGCTTAGAAAGCTACCAAACTCTTCAGTCGGCTTTCCTCAAGCATGGAAAGCATTTCAACAAACGTCATCGGGTGGATTCCTTCAAGCTTAGGAAGCTGCCAAATTCGTTTGTCACCGACACACTGGTGCCAGATACGTATTAAATCATTCTCCATCCCTATCGGCTACTTTGACTATCGTTTTCGAAACTGACGTTTCTGCAAACTCAGTCAAAGTGGGGGCTTCTGTAGACACCTAAAAATGTCTCCCCAAAATCAAACCCGATGATAAATAACCTTTCACCGCCACTATTGATCAG